ATATTTATGATAGAAATGTATTGTGCCACTAAATTTGTATTTATATTATTCTTACGTTAACACGTTGCGGTGCGCTCAGCGCGTACATAATAGCGTCAGCAATGTCAATAGTTTTCAACATACTCACTCCTTTCAATTTGTGTAAACCAAACTCTACAGCCATTTCGGTGTCCACTGCACCGGGACTGACACTCTGAAAATGAAATGGAGATATTCGAATAAAAAATAATAATAATAATAAATATGTATCGAAATTTAAAAAAAAATTGTGTGGCATGGTAATTTTAAATTCCGAGTGGTTTGATGAATGTATTGAGTTTATTATAATGGTAAATAATGCGTGTTTTTTTTTGTATGTGTGTGTTTGTCGTCKCCTTTGAGAGCAGTAAAAGTATTCCGATTTTCTATATCATCGTATTTTGCTAATAGGAAGTGAATCTAGTTGGTATTTAAAGAGGGGCAAGGGGGCAAAAGTAAAATTCTCGGTAGTTTTCAAAAGCGTATGGGAAAACATAAAAACAAGACTTTTCAAGCAAAACCAGTTTTCGATACGACAACGGGGGATTTATATCGATTTATGCAGCCTATATAATTTTAAAAACTTTACCGTCACTCTGATAGGTAACTCTTTCATGCTCATCAATTCTCTAAAACTTTCTGTGATTGAAGTAACGCTTTGTTTGGTAGCAGCATAAATGGAAATATCCTTCATGTATGGAAATTGGTAATGACCAAAAATACTACATTAAAATTAAATTATATTAAATWAAAAATAAAATCGTTATTAGCGTAGGTATATAATTATTAATTTGTAATTTTTACCATGATCTGGATAAATAAAGATTTTTTTTAGGTAACCAATCATAGTAAATAATAATGTTCATTTTTCTTTAGAGAAATAATATTTCGATATTAAAATTATATTAAATTTTAAATTGTTACCTGTTAATATTTATTATATGGCCCACTTTGATTTTTGTTTCTTCCATGATTTTTATAGTCTCTCTAGAGCAAATGTTAAGACCTATGACATTTGTCTCAAACATTTTTTTCCAGTCATTTGAGTTTCCTG